GGGGGGAAGGGGGGAGAGGGGGACGAGCCCCAAACTGACTTCAGTGAGCTGGCCCTGAGCTTGGGTTGCACAGCCTGAGTCTGGACTTTGGCCCTGGGTGAAGGAGGGGTCCCAGGGCTGGGGGGTAGCTGTGGCCCAGCATGGAAGGGGGGTTGCTATCTCTTCAGGAGGGCTCTTTCCTTAGGCAGCCAATGGGAAATGGCTCCACACGGGCTCTAGGTGTCCCTGCTGTAGTGCGCAGCCCCATGGGCGGCAGTGCCAGAAAGCTGTTCAGTACCTTGGGGCAGCTTCCAGGTGAGGAGGTAGCCGGTGGCTCCAGGAGCCGGAGTCCAGGCCAGGGTCACCGAATCGTCCTGGGTCTCCGTCACCCGGAAATTGGTGACTCGGCCCAGAGGTGCTGGAAGGGCAGGAAAGGAGAACGGGGCTTAGGAAGAGCCTCCCACGACATGCCAATCCCTCCCCCATGGAGAGCAAACCCCAACCCGTCAGGCAAGGGAAGGGGGATGGGGCAGCACAGTTCCACATTTCACCACAGGGTGGCCTCCTGGCTCCAGGCATGGCTCAGCCAGAGTCTCTAGGGCTCAGGACTTGGCTTCTAAGCTGCTTGGTTGGCTCAGACTCCAGAGAAGACAAAACCCGTCCCATCCTCCAACCCCTCCCCCATGACATGCCAGCGAACAGCCGTGGCTGAGGGTTCCCTTCCAGGCCTCAGAGCCTGGGCTCGTACCAGTGCTGACAGCGATGCCCACAGGCTCGCTCTCCTGGCTGCCCACCAGGCTGGTGATCCGGATCTCGTAGCGCACTCCCGCCTCCAGGCCCTCGATGTCGTAGGAGCGGACATTGGGGGGGAGCAGCTGGCTCCTCTCCGGCCCTCCTGCCCCAGGGGAGAAATGGGGTTAAACAAGGCAAGGCGTGCCAGGAGAGCCGTGGGGGAGGAGGGGAAGGAGCTCAGAGTCTACTGGCCTCCAGCTCAGGCGGTACCCACTGCTGCCAGGCGCGGGGCTCCAGGTGAGG